ATGGTGGTACATCCAGAAAAAGGGGGAATTTAGTGGTGCTCCATGTTGGTTGAAGGCCCAAAGGAAGTGTCCCAAGTCTGGTGGGACATTAATCCACTTGAAAACCAACTGGTCTAAAGCCCGGAGAGCACAGCAAGAGGGGCAAGCAGTGGACAGTGGTATTCTCGTTGAAAATCCCTCTCTGACATGTTTTCCTTTCTGCAGAAGACAGTCCGGATGTACCCCTTCCAAATCCACAGCATCGCACTGTCTACTTTCGCCTCCCTCATTGGGCCGTTTGGAGGCTTCTTTGCTAGTGGATTTAAGAGGGCCTTCAAAATCAAGGTGAGGATGGTCAAGGTAATTTACATTTTAGAAAGGAAAGACTAAATGGTTGCTACCCCTCTAACCAGTCCCTGTGCTCCAAGGAGTGGCAGGCTGTGAGCTTTGGGAAGAGAGAGAAGGTTTCTTCAGTCACAGATAAAATGCTGGAGCAGGATCTAGGTTTTTTTGACTGAATGGGGAGAGACGTTAAAATTTCAACTGTGATATTCTAAATGCTGCTTTGGTGCAGAACTTGAGGTAGAGGAAGAAAGACCCAGTCAGGAAATTTTGTAATCTGAGGCTTCCCTTGATGTCTTGCAGGCTGGTTTTACGTATAAACAGTCTGTGTTTGGTTAAGAAGCCTTGAAAGGCAAGACAGCGTTGCAAGAGATAAACATTAGCCTTCCTTGACCTTTGAGTGACAGATCTGAGTTAAGCCTTGATGTCCCTCAGGCTTCATAAAGGAGAAACTTTTAAAACCAGGGAGAGATTAAACAAAATGTCTTCTTAGTCTGACTTTTATCTTCTGGGAAGAATTAGAGCAAGGGTATGAGTGTTGTGCATAGAGGTACATAAGCAAATACCTCTTATAACGGGCATTTGAGATTCCTAAATGCAATCCCTTCTGATTTGCACAGGACTTTGCCAACACAATCCCAGGGCACGGAGGTATCATGGACCGCTTTGACTGTCAGTACCTGATGGCTACCTTTGTTAACGTGTACATTGCAAGCTTTATCAGGTATTTATTGCTTTGCAGTGAAGTTTGGGGGCCCTGTCAAACTCAAGTAACGTACAGGCTTGTAATAAGAGACAGTTGTTATCCCCGTTAGATTAACATCTGAAAATACAAGACAAAGAAAGAGAGGAAATGGAGGCTTGAAGAAGGGAAGCATCTTTTAGCAGGTTCATGCAGAGCTGGAAACACAACCACCATTTCCCAAGGTCTGTTATTCCAGTCCCTCTGAAACTCCTCCATGTCCCTTCTGCATCCCTGTGAATCTTGAGCAGGGTTTCCAGAATTGAACGAGCAGAAAAATCCAGTTTTGTAGCATTAACAAGTATTCTGTAGCCAAGCATAGAAGAAAGCCTGTAGGTGCATAAAAGATGTACTGAAGGAGCTGAGGAACTGTCTCTATGTGGCTGCTTTGATTTTCAAGGGGGAGCATCTGCTGATAATGGAAGATGCACAACCCTCTTGAAACAGATGGGTTTGGGGTGGTGTTTTTGTTTACAGTTCAGCATCCTGTGCCTTTTGAATCCATTTCCCCATCTCAAATGGAGTTAAGCTCCCTGGGTAGAACTGGTGAAGGAATGGGCAACAGGGCTCTTACTTTCAGCCTGTTATTTTGATGAAATTGCACTTAGGTTCCCACATCACTGAGATTTAGCAATATGACTCATTAATAATGATGCTTTTGTGTTTCAGAGGTCCTAACCCAAGCAAACTGATCCAGCAGTTCTTAACCTTGCGGCCAGACCAGCAGCTCCACATCTTCAACACGCTAAAAGCACACCTTGTTGACAAGGGTATGTTAGGTACTTTGGAGGACGCATAGACAGCCGGGTGGTTGGAACAGGACTGAAAACAGACAAGCCTCCTCGAGGAAATTCCTGGCTTGCCTGATTTAAGACAATAACAAGGCCTCATTTCACTGTAATTTTTCTTCCTTTCTTGGTAAACATTTGCATTTGTGGGTTTTTTTAATAAGATATTTATATAGCTTTGATTCAAATGAGCAAATCTTGCGTTTGTAGCTGAAAAGGAGTTAAGGCTTGGAAGGACTGTTGGGTTAAGTAGGAGGGTATGACTGTCCTCGTGGTCTGTTCTTAACCTTCGATGCATGTGGGCAGAGCTGAACTTTTCCTGTGAGTGTGTTTATGCAGGGAATACACAAAGCGTTGTCCGTACAACCACCTCTGCGAGTGGGAGCCAGCAGGGAAGGCGAAGCCGTGCAGCTCCCCTGACCGTTGTGCCAGGCTGCGTTCACGCTGGCAACTCTGGGGACCATCATTTTCTCCAGTGGTAACTGTGAATGCAATGTCAATTTTCCCAGAAAGCCACATTTATGCCTGTGTGCAGTCTCCTTGCAGACTGCGAGGTGAGCACAAGGCTCCGTTAATTGGAAGAGGATCGTGCACTAATCCAGCCATACTTCCTCTGCCCAGCCAGGCATGTGCATCTATTTTCACTTGCTGTTTTTTGCAGTGCCTCTCACATTCCCCGCTTATGGCTGATATTTTGGCAAATAAGATTTTTATAACCAATTAAACCAGAAAGACTGGGGACAAGGAGTCAAGAAACTGGTAGTTGCTTGTGGGAATGTGGGAGGTTCAAATTCCTTCAAAACTGAATCAAGTAAATAGGTTTTAAAGAACATAGAAGTTTTATTGAGTAATTCCTGCCAAGTAAGAACAACCCTTTAAATAATTTGGTTCATTTTTCATCCATCAAATAACCCTTAAGAAACACTGAACCACACTTCTTCATTTCTCGTTGGTTGGAAACCCCGCACTGGGATATTTTAACTAATTTGGAGAGCAGTTTCCAACTTGTTTTTTTTTCTGAAGTTTGCTGGTTGGGGCTCCAGCACCCCGCTGGTGCTGTCGGCTGGGTATTTTGTTTTTCTTTCAGGGATCATGTCTATCACCTATTTGTTACTTGAGTTCTAGATGTCGTGCTGCTGAGTTTACCATGGTCTATGTTGCATTTCAGTCTGGGTTCATTTACGTGCAGGCTTCTGTCCTGCTTCGCTTACTAACTCTTGTCATAAATAGTTTGTACTTAATAGTTGCGAGTTTTATCTAAGTACTTTCCTTTATTTTGTGATACTTTTTTATTATTTAAAAATGAGAGCCCTACAGATTGTAAAACTTTTTTTTTTTTTTTGTGACCAGATAGTGAAAATATCCCTGGTTTACACCTTATGCAATGTTCCTAAACACAAGGTGACTCTGATTTTACTTCTTTTCATAGTTTGTGCATGGGAGAAACTTTACCTTACTTTAACCTGGGGAACAAGTGACAGGGGAAGATAATACAGAAGTACATTGCTGTTTTCAAACAATCACTGACATAAACCTTATACACAGACACCCCCCCGTATGGAGACATGTACATGCTGCAAGCTAGCTAAGCATTGACAGAAAATAAAACTCCTGAAAATACTGCGTAGTTCATATTCCATATTCTGATTCTGCCATTGCTTTCATTTACCCTGAGTGAGCGAGAGTGTGTAAATACATTAACAGATACCAACCCCTCTCTTACATTTCTATAGGACTCTTTCTGTGTGGTAAGCTCTGCTTCATCTCCCTCAACAGGAACCACAGGGCAGAAGTTTGTGCCCATTGTACTGCAAATACAGGTATTTGATCGAAAGCACAGATTGCAGAGAAGAAGGGTTTGTTTCCACAAAGTATTTTCAGCATGGTGCTGGCAAAGTTGCTGGCTTCTGGCAGGAGTCAGGACTGCTACGACAGTGGAGACAGTTCAGGATTGCACTTGGTTAACACCAGTGGTGTACACAGAGGCTTTGCTGGACTAGTTGTGGAGACTGTTCCCTTCCAGCTTGAATTAGGCAGGGATTTATTTTCTGTCGACTTAGAGGATATTGGTCCAAGCCCCTAATTTGAAAATTGGAGGGGAGAATTAAGGTGCTTCCATCTTGCTTTGCCCAGGGAGAATATTTGGCCTGCGTTTCATGACAGTTTGGCTGAGTTTAGCTAGGCAAAGTGAGGGCATCTGCAAGGAATACCCGGACTGGGAATAGGTGTGGAAGTGACAGCGTTTCGTGTAGTCCCTGAAAAGTAGTTTGCCCTGTGGAGTCAGACAAGCTGGTGCTTTTCTGGATTCTCCCTGCCCGTTACCAACATCTGCTAAAATCCCTTGTAGTGCACTGTTGGGTCATCAGAAGAAGCTATAGTGTTGATAAATATTACAAAAGCGTACTGTTCTTTCTATTAAGAATTTTTTCATATGGGTCTCTAGTCTCCTGCTCGTCTTGCTTTAAACCTTTTGTACCTCTTTAGTTGTAATTAGTGGGGCAAAAATTGAACACAAAGGTTTTCTGCATGCTTTTGATTTGAAGTAGCATTTGGGCCTTTTTGAAGGGTGTAGTGCTGGATGTGGACACTGGAGGGCAAAGCAGTTGCATTTAGCGGCTTCCTAGGGCTGGGAGAGAAGGAGCAGCAATAATGCGTGCGGGTGGCTTTCCGGATGAGCTCGCAGCTTTATTCTTGCTTCCTTCCCAGGAGTGCAGTTAAAGGGTGGACTTCCAAGCCTGTTTTGATCCTGAAGGGTAAAGCTACATGGAAAGGATTTAGCATCCTGCGCTGATGTTTAGTAAATTGAATGGGAACAGTGCATCCATTTGAGAAGTGGAGGAGGAAGATGGAGGTTGTTAAGATTATTTGCAAGCTGGACAGCTGATCTTGCTGAGAAATACTGGTGAGCACCATAGCATGTCCTCTGTCGGGCTGAGAGCTGTGGCTGCCAAATCCACTTCCACACCGCTGGTATGAATATATGTGACAGTGCTACTCCGCTCTTTGCGACAGCCTGCTGTCAGACTTATTGCTTTTCCTTTTTGTCATTCAGGAACCAAGACACCCTCTTGTCACAGTAGATGTCTATTACAGAGGGAGGAGGTGCAGGAAACTTTTCATAACCAATAACAGAGGTGCAGAATTAACAGATCTGGTAGTAATGTTGTCCCAAAAAGTGGGGTCCAATACCCGGTGTGCAGTGACCAATTCACACACTGAGTCGAGATATTTGTTTATTATCTGTTTTGCGCAAAAAAGGGGTGCTAGGGGGTAAGTCCACAAAGCTAGCACACCTCAGTGTACCAGTTGTCCATATTTATACACTTCCCGTTTATGCAACAACCTAAGGCTTATCAGTTGTTTCTTTTTCTTTTCATCCCTTTTGCTGATTCTCCCACCAATTTTATCTTAGTACTTTTTATTTAGAATAATGACTCTCATCAGTCTGTAATGACCCTTGATTCTTATCAGGTTATGACGACTCTTATCAGTTAGTAATCATTTTCGAGTATTCCTAAGATAAGCAATAGTTAGTCATCAATAATACAGAAGTACATTGCTGTTTTCAAACAGTTGCTGACATCTTATACACAGACACCCCCCCATATGGAGACATGTACATGCTGCAAGCTAGCTAAGCATTGACAGAAAATAAAACTCCTGAAAATACTGCGTAGTTCATATTCCATATTCTGATTCTGCCATTGCTTTCATTTACCCTGAGTGAGCGAGAGTGTGTAAATACATTAACAGATACCAACCCCTCTCTTACATTTCTATAGGACTCTTTCTGTGTGGTAAGCTCTGCTTCATCTCCCTCAACAGGAACCACAGGGCAGAAGTTTGTGCCCATTGTACTGCAAATACAGGTATTTGATCGAAAGCACAGATTGCAGAGAAGAAGGGTTTGTTTCCACAAAGTATTTTCAGCATGGTGCTGGCAAAGTTGCTGGCTTCTGGCAGGAGTCAGGACTGCTACGACAGTGGAGACAGTTCAGGATTGCACTTGGTTAACACCAGTGGTGTACACAGAGGCTTTGCTGGACTAGTTGTGGAGACTGTTCCCTTCCAGCTTGAATTAGGCAGGGATTTATTTTCTGTCGACTTAGAGGATGTTGGTCCAAGACCCTAATTGGAAAATTGGAGGGGAGAATTAAGGTGCTTCCATCTTGCTTTGCCCAGGGAGAATATTTGGCCTGCGTTTCATGACAGTTTGGCTGAGTTTAGCTAGGCAAAGTGAGGGCATCTGCAAGGAATACCCGGACTGGGAATAGGTGTGGAAGTGACAGCGTTTCGTGTAGTCCCTGAAAAGTAGTTTGCCCTGTGGAGTCAGACAAGCTGGTGCTTTTCTGGATTCTCCCTGCCCGTTGCCAACATCTGCCAAAATCCCTTGTAGTGCACTGTTGGGTCATCAGAAGAAGCTATAGTGTTGATAAATATTACAAAAGCGTACTGTTCTTTCTATTAAGAATTTTTTCATATGGGTCTCTAGTCTCCTGCTCGTCTTGCTTTAAACCTTTTGTACCTCTTTAGTTGTAATTAGTGGGGCAAAAATCAAACGCAAAGCTTTTCTGCATGCTTTTAATTTGAAGCATCATTTGGGCCTTTTTGAAGGGTGTAGTGCTGGATGTGGACACTGGAGGGCAAAGCAGTTGCATTTAGTGGCTTCCTAGGGCTGGGAGAGAAGGAGCAGCAATAATGCGTGCGGGTGGCTTTCCGGATGAGCTCGCAGCTTTATTCTTGCTTCCTTCCCAGGAGTGCAGTTAAAGGGTGGACTTCCAAGCCTGTTTTGATCCTGAAGGGTAAAGCTACATGGAAAGGATTTAGCATCCTGCGCTGATGTTTAGTAAATTGAATGGGAACAGTGCATCCATTTGAGAAGTGGAGGAGGAAGATGGAGGTTGTTAAGATTATTTGCAAGCTGGACAGCTGATCTTGCTGAGAAATACTGGTGAGCACCATAGCATGTCCTCTGTCGGGCTGAGAGCTGTGGCTGCCAAATCCACTTCCACACCGCTGGTATGAATATATGTGACAGTGCTACTCCGCTCTTTGCGACAGCCTGCTGTC